CAAGACTTTTGCACCTGTTGTCTCGTGTAAATAGAAACCTCAGTCCAGCTGTGAGCAAACAGCTCTGCTGCACACAAAGCAGTCAAACATCACTGATTATCTGCAGGTACAAATTTATTCACATGATCTCAGACAGTTGTACAGCTCAATGATTGGTTCACAGCTCAGCTGTGTCCCTGCAGGGGGCGCCATCCATACAGCCTCTGTGACCGCTGAGTGTCAGCACATTCAGGTAAAATGGACTCAGCTGGACACTTTATTCTCCAACCAATCAGAACATGCAGAAACCTTCACATCAGGAAGCATCGACTCCAGCTGACGGAGGAGGCGGGGTCTGTTGTCACAGACCCCAGACATATCACAGAACCAAGGTTATAGAGCAGGGGTGGGGAACTCCAGGCCTCAGGGTCTGGTGTCCTGCAGGTTTTAGAGCTCACCCTGGGTCAACACACCTGAATCAAATGATAAGTTCATTAACAGGCCTCTGGAGAACGTACGGTTACGGTGTAACCTTGGTTCTCTTAGTGAGAGACAGGAAAAGATCCAGGGAAACCGTTACATATGTAACGGTGTGGAGCGATGCGGAGTCTCGATATGCTAGGGAACTTCAACTTTGAATCAGCTGCCACATCTAAAACCTGCAGGACAGCGGCCCTGGAGATCTGGAGTTGGACAGCCTTGGTTTAAAGTGAGAGGCAAAGCTACTGGCACATTGCAGACAGGTAGTGTTACACAGCAGCAGGTTAGAGAAGTCACCAGGTGATCAGCACGTTCTCACGCCCCGAATCACATCTTGCTAAAGTGAAACTATCTCACGACAGAATGAGCTGCAGCAACAGCGTAACACAAACAGTAATTGGATCACCACCTGAAATCACCGACATTACAACAATAAAAACACAGAAAAACTCCACATTTATTACAGGAACATAAATGTGCAGAGGCTCCTTCAAACACAGACATGTGACGTGTTATGAGCATGAGCAGAAACCTGAGACTCGTCTGGTTTCTGCACATGCTCAGAACACGTTCAGGTCATGTTCACGTCATGAGGCGAAGGAGCTGCAGCATCGGAGGCCTCATTAAACCGAAGCACAGAAGGAATGATGTGCAAACACGTCAGCCAGGTATCA